AGAGAGAGAGAGAGAGAGAGAGAGAGAGAGAGAGAGAGAGAACATCAGTTGATTAGTCTAGTTCCTGAAAAGCACAGTACCAGCAAAAAATTTGTACTAAATGAACTTCAGAGGACCCTGCAACCATTTCCATTTTGACCATGGTCTAACAGAAATTCTCTGAGTGGTGCTAAGCCTGTGATTGGTCCAAATGTAAGTCTTGATGACACTGGTTGATACCAGATCCAGATTGGTTCAAAACACAAGCCCCAGGGACTGTTTGGTACTAAGAGACAAGGCTGTGATTGGTCTAAACAAACAAACTAATGGTTGTGGTCGTACAGACATCCCTTCCTGAGCTGCAATTAGTGTGCTTAGACTAGCTCAGTGAGTCAGCTGGGAGATACTCTTGTGTTTCCTGATGACAGGCCTCTCCCCAGAGACCATTTCCTGTCTCTCTTCAGTGGTGTGAGCTGAGCTGATGACACGAGGAAGCGGCCACAGACACAGATTTGTGGCAGCAGAGAGACGGGCTCCTGGTGGTGGCCGACACATTGGACCCAACTGACCCTGGCAAGCACCCTGAAGAGTCCTTACGACAGAAGCGGTCGTCTGGCCCAATACCTGACAGATGAAGAAGCAGATTCATGGTTTCAGAGCAGCTGGGCCAGGAAGGAAAAGGGCAGCGGGAGTAGAGAAAGGGAAGGGAGAGCCTATGGAAGGAGAAAAAGATGAAGGGCGTCAAGAAAAGAAACTGTAGACATTTGTGGGGAGAGGTCCAGTAAGCTGTCATGTTTCCAGGGCCAAGGGTTTCAAAGAACCCAGGCTGAGAGCTGTAACACAGGTGCTCAAGGCACGAGAACTGGAACCCTAGAGGATGCCGCTTGCAGCAGCTTCAGCCTGCTGACTCCCTGCCCTCCGCTCACTAAATCGGCCAGAGTCCAGCACGTGAAGAGCTTCTTGCTGTTGTAATGTCTGGGATGGAGCAGAGCCTGCTCGCTAGCTGGTGACTGACAGGACTCTCTTTTGAATCTGTGTGGTCTCCTGGATTTGGAGAATGATGATACTTTGGGTCTTATTAAAAGAAGCTGCCAGCCAGGCAGTGGTGGTGCATGCATTTAATCCCAGCACTGGGGAGGCAGAGGCAGGCAGATCTCTGTGAGTGAGTTCAAGGTCAGCCTGGTCTACAAAGTGAGTTCCAGGATAACCGAGGTCGTTACACAGAGAAACCCTGTCTTGAAAAGCAAAACAAACAAACAAAAAAAAAGAGAAGCTGTTTAATTTTTTTCTTTATAGCTTCTACTGTAACTCTCAGTCACCTTTTTATTATCTGGCTTTCTATGTATGACTTAAAAAAATTCAGTTGACACGCCTTCTCCACCATGAGAGACTTGAGGAAGAAAGTTAGCTCTAGGAAACACAGGGTTTTGGGGTATCAAAACAGTTCCCTGAGAACTTACCTCCCATTGAAAGAAAGGGTCCCACTCTTTAAAATCCCACTCTTGGGGTCAACCTCTGAGTATTCAGGATAGAGAAGAGTCAATTCCAAGTCTCAGAAGACCCAAATACGTTTTCCTTGCTGCTGACTTACTGGCTTGGGTGGTAATGTGGTTTCATTCACAATGTCTGGAGCAAGGCACGGCAGCCACCTCTTCGTGCCTGAGGACAGCCTCTGAGAGTTTATTGACCTCCTAAATATTTGTATGTCTTTATTATTCAGAAATTGGAGCCTTGTTTTTCTTCATACGACTCCATGATATGGGGCACCAAAAATGATATTTTGAGTCAGTTATAAAGGTTAGCTCATTTCTCTTTGGAAGGCTCCAGAGTTCAGTGAGACCTGTGGACTCAGTCTGTTGGGCAAATATATTCAGCATCAATGCAGAAGGTTGGGTCCAATGTGTAGTCACTATCGCATAGCCAGTATTGTGTCTTCCGAGGTCTACAAAGCCGTTTCCAGATGGTCTGCTAGATCCGATTTGCTGGAAAACAAAACAAAGCAAAGCAACAGCATCAGGTACTTGTAGGTAAATTCCGGGTGTGGGGTCAGAGACTTGCAGGCGTCAGAGCAGTGGGGATTTAAACCAAGGTTTAAAGAGTTACATTGAGGATGGTCAGAGGGTGCGGTCTGATACTTCCCTAGCCTGCTAGCAGTCAGCCATCAGGATTTTGTTCCATCGGAACTCAAGACGTAATATTGTTCAAATACGGTGATTGGTTGCCTAAATATATTCTCTTCGGCTCCTTTTAGCCATTCCTAACTGGCTGCCAAGGCCAGGGCCTTCATCCGGGAGGGCTGTTGATTGCTTGGGTGATCTAATCGTTTTGAATCATAAACTATGGGTGAGAGGCTCTTTCCTAGGAACTGCCAGGGACTCCAGTAGCTGCTTGTTGTTAATGGAGACACCGTCTAAATGCCTTTTATAGGGCAAGAGTGGACATTAATTGATGTTTGAGAGCTTTAAAAGCGGTTTGATGTTCCATGGTCCAGATTAAGCACTCGAGATCGGTTCCTAATTAGAGCCGTTGTTACAAGTCTGTAATTATGAACCCATACTCTATAATAGCCCACCACCCGCAGCAGTTTTAGCTAGCTACTGGTGGGCCTTAGGCTCTTGAATATCGGAATCATCCGTTTTCAGCTAGCTTCTAGGCTAAGCTTGCTGTAGCTGAAACCACCGGTTTCTTACAGATTTGCGCTTGTGGGGGAATCCTTTGTATATCTATATTCAGTCAGAGGGTTAAGAGTCAGGATGGTATTTTCCAGGCCAAATTCTTAAGTCAGATTGGTAATTAGCAAGTTGTAGTGGGTCAGAGTCACAGACCAAAAAGAATCTGCCCAAGTTCAATAGAGTCAAGTCAGTTTACTGAGTACATAGCAGCAAGGTCAATG